CTCCTGTTATTAACCCCATGACCATCACCCTGCCACTTATATATGACCTATTTGTGTTGCAAATGCCGTGTAACTCTTACTAGTGGGTGGTTGGCGGGTGCTCTGGTGTGGTTTGCTCCTTCTTTCCTATCAAACATCCGTCGTCCTTATATCTCTCCTCCTTCTTTTTGTGTATGTTACTCTCTTGTAACACATAATCTATTCTTTGGCATTTATATGACCTTACTGTGTTGCAAGGGCCGTAAAACTTTTACTAAAACTTTTAAAAAACAAAGTCTTATTAAAACTTCAGGTAGCTGGGAGGGCGCTACTGGTGGTTTTATGTCTTTTTCTATTGCTTCTTCCCTGCACTCTATGACCGTTACTGTGTCGATGTGCTTCTCGTTACTCAAACTCAAGCTCTTACTAAAACTAAAAAAACGTGAGTGATTGGCAGGTGCTCTAGGATCGTTTGCTCCTTCTTTCCTATCTAGCTCAAACATCTATTGGCTTTACCTCTCCTCCTCCTTTTTCTATGTTTTCTACGCTCTTGTAACACCACTTGTCCTCAGCACTAATATGACCTTATTGTGTTTCAAGTGCGGATAAAAAAAACTCTAACTAAAAACTAAATGAAACTAAACCCAACTTTTACTGTGAGTGGTGGGCGGGTGCTCTGGTGTGGTTTGCTCCTTCTTCCCTATCAAACATCTACCGTCCTGATCTCTCCTCCTTCTTTCTTGTATCACCTAATCTTCGGCACCTATATGACCTTATTGTTTTGCAAGTGCTGTAAAACTCTTACTAAAATTAAAACAACTTTTACTATTGACGTTGTGGACTTGCTGACAGGCTCCAGTGCCATGCCCTACAAGCGGAATCCCATGCGGAGCGAGCGCTGCTGCTCCCTGGCCCGCCTGCTAATGGCCCAGGTTCAGAACCCGCTGGCCACCGCGCTCTACCCCCCCCCCCCTTCTTATTTACTTTACTTTATTATTCCACCTGTACCGGTGGGTGTAGCAGGGAGATACATGCGTCTGTCTGTCTGAAGCAAGCTGAGTGGCCTGTAGGAGGGACATCCCGTGAGCTCTGAGGGTAATAATTGCATTTATTATAGCGCATGTCCATGCTCAAGAGCAAACTCTATGCGCTTTACAACTATTATTACCCCAGCAGACCCTCTGAGAACACTCAGAAACATTCTCGGCTTCCGCGGAAGCATACAGTCTGCTACTGACTCACTCTAGCGTCGCCTGTCAGTCTATTACAAAACTCTTACTAAAAACTAAACGGAACTAAACCCAACTTTTACTACCTCTACCCTTCTGACAGGCTCCAGTGCCATGCCCTACAAGCGGAACCCCATGCGGAGCGAGCGCTGCTGCTCCCTGGCCCGCCTGCTGATGGCCCAGGTTCAGAACCCGCTTGCCACGGCCTCGGTGCAGTGGATGGAGCGAACCCTGGACGACAGCGCCAACCGGCGCGTGTGTCTGCCCGAGGCTTTCCTTGCGGCCGACGCTCTCCTCAACACACTGCTCAACATCGTGGAGGGCTTGGTCGTCTACCCGAAGGTGGGATTTTCTCTATCTGTCTGTCTGTCTGTCTGTCTATCTCTTTCTGTCTGTCTGTCTGTCTGTCTGTCTGTCTGTTTGTCTGTCTGTCTGTCTGTC